AGGGGCTGCGCCGTCTTCGGCTCCTGCATAGAGGCTTATGGCTTGTGCAAATCCCTATAAAAGAAGCTGGCCCTAGGATGTCCTGGATGGCCCTCCATGCTTGCGACCTCGTTTCCACTTCCGGGTGACCAGAACCATAGGACCATAGCGGGGTCCCCGAAACAATGTCTTTTTGGAGGCTTGTCTTGTCTTCCAAAAGAATTGCAAACGCGGGCTCCTGGATCTCTTTCTCCGCTCTCGGGATTTGCTCTTGCTCTTGCTTCTTCGCTCCGATCTCTTTCTCCGCTCTCGGGATTTGCTCTTGCTTCTTCGCTTTGGGCTTCTTTGGCTTCTGCTCCTCGATCGAGCGCTCGAAGGAGCTTGTGGCCCTTCTTTTTCTTCATGATCCCTAGCAACCAGAAGAGGTGAGGGCAAGTTATGCAAAATTGAAGAGGCAAAAGGAAAAGCAGAAGGCATATGCACGTGTGTACATACTGTGGTCACAAAGATAAACTCCACCTCAGCTCACGGGGTAGCTCTGCTGGCGGTAGTGGTTCAGGATCAGGAGCTTTTTTCTTCAAGTTCCTTGGTATGAACTGAAGCTTTGCCCGAATGTTTACTGTCTCGACGTAGCTCACGTGAGAGAACATGGCCAAAAACGTATCCACGGCATCCACCCAAATCTCGCAAATTGCAGCTTTGTATCTCCGCCTTGACTTTCTTAGGCTCAGAAGTCCAGCCAACTGAAACCTCAAACTTTGCCAAATTCGCCAAATGCCAGGAACCTAATTTTACCTACATAAGGCCAGCTTGACATCAACACCTAAAAGACTAAAGTGACTAAAGGACTTGTACAACAAAAGTTGCCGAGTTCCCAGCCTGATACCTCTGCTTCGTCTCATCGAATCCAACGATGACACCAAACTTGCCATTGTCATCAGCGTTGCTCTTCTGGCGGGAGATTGCACAGGTCTTGCTGAGGTCGAGAGCTTCCACGGAAAGAGCTGAGTTGTCGTCCAACAAGGAAAACTGATTCATGTTTCTCACTGCTGCTTAGCGAAAGCAACGGCCAAATCGTGTACCGACTCATTGCTTTCCATACCCCGAAGCCCTAACCCCAAAGCCCGCAAGCATGGCAGGACGGCCAAGTTACAGAATACCACTTTGTCACCTTTCTGGAAGCGCTCCTGGAGGCTTTTTCTTCAAAAGCACGCACCCAATTGGGACATCCAACTGAGGCGGAAAGGTCATGGAGTCATGCTTCTTCAGCTACTAGCTGACACCGAAATACAACGGAATCACCAAGCACAACGTGACTTGAACAAACTAACAAGCTGAAATCACTTCGATCACTCCTGCTCAGCAGGACAAGTCATCGCAAGGCATTTACGTTTGTCGACTCTGAGATGCTCTTCTGCATGGATAGGCCTATAATCTTTGTGACCCCTAGCATTATATTTTGCCACACCAATTCTTGAGAGTAGGACAAACGTCATTGGGTCAGTCGACTTCCCCATGTCACACGTGTTTTACCATTCTGATCTATTCCACCACTGAAGTGGAAGCCATGTGTTACAAAAGAGAGCAAGCCATCTGAAACCGGTCCCCTTAAAGGAAGCCATCTTGTTGCCTATGGGTCCATGCAGCGGACCTGCATGACATCCTAGTAGCAATGACATCCGTCTTTCCATAGTTTGCTTGCATCGTGCGGGCACGAAGTGGCAGCCAAACAGCAGCATTTGGTGCGGTGAAGAACCGTTGGCATCGAACCCACAAGCACCGTTGAGACAGAGAAAATCCAATCTTGAGACATGAAGTCCGTTGCGTGACATGCAAGGATGCTCTTGGTACGTCGAACAGGCATTAGAAGACCTTCTGATTCATGCACAGTGCATGTCAAAGAAAAAGTAGACAAATCTGCTTGGCATCAACTTGGCGTTCAATCTGGCAATCTGGCCACCAGGCCTTCTTGAGCTCCTGCTGCATCACAAGCTCTTGTGCTTGAGCTCCTTGAGCCTCTGAAAAGCAACAAATCTTCTGTGGCAGCAGAGCCTTGTCAAGAAATTCAACCAGAAATTGCCCAAAAATGATCGGTCAACAGACTGGACCCTTTATCCATCTTTATCATGTTATTAAGGCGCGGCCTTCTTCTTGTTAGCTTCCTCCTTTTTCTTCTGCCGCCTTGGCCGCAACGGTGAAGAAACGGGATGAAAAGCAAGGAAGTTGACCAATCCTGCTAGAAGAAGGAAGCAAAATTTTCAAAATGATGCATATTCACTATGCATCCCCAGATTTGTGGCAAGCCTGGATTCACTTTGGCCTGGATTCACGATGTTTATATATGGTGTATGTTCAAGAGCAAGCATTTGTCAAAGCACAGGGCCTTCCAATGTTCACAAATGCCTTCCAATTGAAGTTCACTCCAGCGGCCTCGATTCACGATCTGCATCGTTCCAGCGTGCATCAGCGCGCCGCGCTCGCTGCGCTGTCTCAAAGGGATCTTCCCTGCATTCAAGTCATTCAGCCAGATGAAGAAGTGTCGGCCACATGACTCGACACTGAGTCATTGGTCTCCCCTCTCGTTTTCCTCTCTCCATCTGAGCTGCACTTTTGGTGAAAGAAAACCTGGCCTGTAGCTGCTGTAGTCGCTGCTGTAGCTGTAGGAAGCGCCATAACTGTAGTCAGAGCTGCCACTGTAGCTGAAGTCGTTGTAGCTTCTTTGAGCTCGACCGCTGCTGTAGCTGCTTGTGGACCACCGGGCTCGGCCTCAAACGTTCAAACAGTGATCGTCGAAAACAGCTTCAACTCCACATCTGCCGATCCGTCCAAACCCGCTAAACCCGGCTAAACCCTAGGATTCCAACAACTGCCCCCTGGGATTTTGACAGTACACTAGCAGGTAAACCATTCTTTTGATGGTCTCTGAAGGCTAAGGGTTAAACCATGGTAAACTAACCCATTCCGGCTCCGCCCACGTCGCAGGGTTCCCGTTCGGCCGGGCACCCGGACCAGCTTCCGTCCCCAGTTCCTCCAGTGCCTGGCGATGAGCGACCGTTCCTCTGTGCGGTTTCACCTATGACGGGCCTGGTTTTCGGTCTCGATTCCAATCCCAATCCCAAAATGGGTGTGGGTTTAAGATTTGGAAGACTGCCCTTATAAGACTGCCCGACTGGAAGAAGGAAGAGATGGACTCCCAATCCATTGGTGGAGTGTCTCCATATGACAGAGGATTGGCTTCACAAGGCTGTGCCAGACACTGGGCGCACTGGCGAATCAAGGATCGAGAGAATCGAGCTTGTGAAGCCGGGTCGAAAGAGAACAAAATACGACTCAAGGCTAGTGAGTGCTTCACTTTCCCTGAGTCGAGGGCGTTGACCTTGATCTTTCCCAATATGGGGCCCGTTCCCTGAGTCGATTGCCCGTTCCATTCGGCATCACGTTTGCTCGGTCTCGTTCCATTGACCACATTCGCCCCCCCCCCTAGGCCAAGGGAGGCGTTCTCTCGGACTGCCGTCCGCTTTTCTCAGTTCTGATCAAACGATCAGCATCAGCTACCATGTTCAGTTTTTGTTTGGGATCTTCTGCGTATTCGGTCCCTTAAGGAATTCATGAGATCTTGTGCTGACAGTTCTCAATACATGGTGACACCCCTGCAACATCCTTTTCTTCTCTCTCCCTGTATCCTTGCGGCTCCCTCTAGGTCTACCGGTCTATTAATGGAGGCATGAGGTCACCCAGGGCGAGCCGCAGATGCTGACCAAGGTGGGACCATTCTGGTTGTACACAACTGTACAATAAAATATGATATAATATGTATCCACTTTCCAGTTTCTTCTAAGGCAAGTGGTCGCAAAATGTTGTGTTTTGCTTTAAACAAAGCTCCGGTGACTAGGGACCCAATCCTGCCAAACACATCCCTTCTACGCTTGCGTTTGGCAGGGCTTTCGTTCCTCTGCTTCACATTCCTGGTCCGTGCCATGCGCAACAGCACTCAGCGCACGAACCAAGAACCACCGTGTTGGTCAGAAGGCGGGGCCTCACGTATGGACCGGAAACGATCTTCATCACCGGTGCCTGATCGAGAAGACTACAAAGAAGAGAAAACAAGAAGAACTCTTGCCTGAAACACAGTGGAGGTTCGAAAACACTATGAGAAATCGGATGCTTTGAGCTGCTTCAAGAACTATGTGCACAAAGCACAGAGTAAGTAGTGCCTGGAACATCGGGATGATATGTCCTGCAACATCATGAAACTCCGAATGAGATAGCTTTTCTTGGAGACAAGAAACTGGAAGATCGCCCTTCCGGTCATCGGTCCTGGCCAACTTCCGAAAGGCTGCCCGGATGTCATCGTAGTTGGAGCTGCGTGAGAGGCCCAGCACGTCGTACGGATTCTGCTGCGCCGAACGACGAAGCACGCGCGCCGAAGCACCGCCAACGACGGCCCTCCGCCGTGGCGCGGACCGCGTCTCTGTGGATCTCCCAGTGAAAGCGGCGCCCCAAAGAACTCCGCTCACGCTCCACAGCGGCAGGCACGAAAGAAACGAGAGGCTCACGTGAAACGCCCGCGGTGCCACCCGCATCCGTCAGAAGTCGGGGCATCGCATCGCCCGGCAGTGCTTTTGCACAAAGCTTTTATGCCTAAAAAGACGCCTGTGACTATGCCTGGATCAACACTACCTTCGTTCAGTCCCACCTCTTGAACCTTTGGACCACACTCCGACAGTCTTTGCTAAAGCGGCATGTTCCAGCCTTCTGAGACATGGCTGAAGCACAATTCTGTCATTCATGACTCTCTGAAGCCAAAAACTTCGACCAGTTCGATCTCGAAAAACTTCTGAGACACGGCTTGGACAAAAGGCCTCTACACTCCTCGCTGGTTACGTGGATGCCATGTCGGCCTCTTGGAGGACCCTCTTTCATCCTTCTTCTCTACAAACCGGTCGTGAATTTCACTTCCGTCTTAAACGACGAGGCAAAAGAAGCACTTGGAGCATCATGCGCCACCGGGAACAATCCACCTGACGGCCAGGCCATCTTCCGTGAGCTGCGAGGCTCCAGGCATCTCAGGGTACCTGGACGACGCACCGGCTAGATAGTTTACAAGAAAAACAAGCAAATAGAATCTGAAAATATCTCGAAATTCTAGAAACACTGGTGGTGTATAGATGATGTTGTACCTACAGCCCCGCGCTGTGAGTGGACCGATGCTGTGCTGGACTTTCTCAACCTGTGGTGGCGCACGAGTGCAGCATGGAAAGCCCTCTTCCAGGGTTGGCCTTGGCGTCCGATTTGCTCCGGCAACTGGTGTTGCCATTGGCCATGTCGGCCGCACAACTGCACTCACTGTCCAGAAGGCGAACTGCATCTCATAGATCTCATGCTCACCAAAGAATCGCAGCTTAAGACTTGATGGATGGTATTTTCAAGCCACACCTCACTGGCCAAACGACAGCTGAGAAACAACGCCGCCAATGTAGAGCGGCCGCGTCATAAAGTGCTGGCGCAGACTCACCGATGACTGCAGAAATCACCTCCCCCTGAATGGTCTGTCAGCCCTACCAAGCTTTACTCGTCTCTTTCGTCTCTTTCGTCTCTTTCACCTTAAGCAGGAACGAATGTTTTCGTCCAAAGAAATGAAATTTTTCCGTCGGCAGGTTGCTCTGCCGCGCCTCCAGACCCATATCCCCCATTAACTTTCCACTCCAGCTGCCCAGCAGAACGCCCTGGTGACCAAACACGCAAAGCGACGCAGCCCTTTGAGTCTCTGTCGTAGTCATTCGAAGACTTAGGAGGCTCAAAACAAAGACAGGCTTTCCAGCCATCTCAGCACAGTATGCACAGTATGCATGTTCTACATATATAGATCAGCTCCAAGGGGAAAAGCAAAACACCGGCACCTCAATGCCCTCCGAGCGATGCTCCGTGATGAGCACCACCTGGGCTCACGAGTTGCAACGACTTCGCAAGAAGACCGCTCGCTGAGTTCACGGCTGGAAGCCGCGCCCGCTCTCGACGGGACTCAAAGGAAGGCATCCACCTGGGGACCCGATCGAAGCGCGCGCGTCGCGCGCGGCGCGAGGCACGGGGTCTTTCGGTCGGAGACCACGTGGTTTCTCCGGAGGTTTCTTCGTGAGAAACGGAGGTTCGAAGCCGTGCTTGGGGGTGTGGTATTTGTATTCTTTTTGCCGGGGGGTGAGTACGAATTGGATCGAGGTGTCGGCCCCAGTGCATCCAGGCCACCCTGTCCGGGCGGCGGCGGCTGGCATGGTCTTGGACTCGAGGAAAGTGCGAGGATCTGCCAGAAGGACCTCGTGAAATCACTAAAACCATCTAAACAATTAGGTAACCTTACCTGCCAATTGCCGTTTGACAAAGTCAAAAGATTCATGGTGTATGTTAAAATGCACAGCAGAAGGCTTCATTGCAACACCTGTCAATCGCGAACAGAAATCGTCGGCTCCGAACAGTACCAGCGGCAGGAACCTCATCTTTCAAATCCACCCTGGCACCAAGAAGACTACAGTACAAGCTTTTGAAAAGTGGCCCTTTTCGAACATCCACGATGCCAAGAGTCAAGAGCCCCCTAGTAGCGTCCTTGCTCCTAGTACAAGCTTTTGAATCGTTGTCTCCCGAAAAGTCGCCCTTTTCGGACGTCTGAAGGAAGAGGAGAGAAGGCGGACGCATTCCTCCGCATCCGCTCTTCGGCCTTTCCACGGTCCAATCATCACCTCGGGGAAAGGCGAAGCATTCCTCCGATCCCGAGGCCAAGGTCGTCGCCCCGAGTGGCTCAGGTCCAAGGTCGTCGCTCCGGTCAAAGAGCGGCACAGCCGTGAGAACACCCTCCTGGATCGACGTGAGAACACCCTCCGCCGTCACAGCCGTCCGCGTCGCGAAGGAGTTGAAATATGTTTTGATGGAAAACCACATGATCATGTGTGTGTGTGTGTGATGGCATGTGAGTGCCAAACTTCTGACCTGCAACTCCTTCTTCTTCAGCCTCTCTGTTGCACGTTGTAGCTCCTCACGAGGGTTTTTTCATTCTCAGAAGTTGCATCCAATCACTCCATCTTTCAGAGAACTCAGTCTGACCGCCTTGTCCCAGTCCGTGCTCCCATCGCCATCAGCATCCTCGGACCGACGGGACCCCCAGAAACGGTGGAGAGCTCGAAACGGCGGCACGGTGGGAGCTCTGGAGCTCCCGGTGTTGGGAGCTTGCAGAACACGAGTTCAAGACATCTCAATAGTGCTTGGAAACAAGAGCTGTTCAATACAAGCCTCTGGAAGAGCGGCTACCACCACATGACTACCTCCGCGCTTTGTTCGCTTCAAAGGCAGATGTTGATTTACATGTGTATTCAATAATATAGGTCCCTTGAAGTAGTTACCAAGACTAGCTACCTTGGAGTTACAAACGGGTTCAATCGTACAGACTTGTTGATTCAATAGCAACAAACTTCAACAGCTAGGTTGTGACCATTTAGAAGCAACGTCCACATGCCGAGCCAAAGGATCACCGTGATAGGCCAAACAGCCAGCCCACGATGATAGGCCTTTTTGCAAGAAAATCCAAGTACACTGCTAGGTAGCAATTGCAGCTCTGCATTCTCAAGAGACACTGTGCCAAACATGTTCCGCAAGAAAAATAGTTGCCTGCAAAGAAGACTCCGTTTGTGCCTCTTCGTACTGGTCTGGGAAGAAGAGCCTGCAAAGTCTGTTTCCCACGAAGTCAGGCATTTGACTCGGCTCTGCAGGATACACGTTCTTTCTTTCGGCTCCAGGATCCGGGAGCTCGGCGCGGGCGCCAATATTTGACAACCAGGCTCTGCACGGGACAAGCCTGAAGAACTGGACGGGACAGTCAGTACCAAGGCACCGAGGCTCTCGCACCCAGTCGTGTGGCTGAGGCCCGAACGCCAGCAATGGGAAAGCAGAAAGACCGATGAGTCTAAGTGGAGCCTCGTTCCACAGCAAAACCGCACCGCTCTCACAAGCAGAATCTTTTGGTGCATGCACACAACTGGTTTTTGAGGTTGTTGTTGTTGTTGATAGATCCCTGCTCGAACAAGGAACCTGCTGGGGGTCTAGTTTTTCTTGATACCATCTCATAAACAAACGGCAATTAGTGAAGTTCAGTAGGCATCCTCATTCAAGGTAATCTGGTTGTAAGAACTGTTTTGACCAATGATGTTCACATTGAGTCACCACGCCGCGCATTTTTTGGAATCATGCGGTAGGCTGGATGCCATGTGAATTCTTCCATGGCACGGCTTCGCAACCGTTCGCATGAATGAATGAATGAATGATTGATTGATTGATTGATCGATAGCGTGACTATGTGCGACCTCCAACCCACACATATCATATAATGCCTCCACAACTGAATGTTTGCAAAGCCTCGTGTGACCTCTGTCCTACGAATCCAAAAGTGTTTTTGCTGCATTGGAACGACATGAACGACATGAATCTGAATGACTAAACAACACCCATCCATTGGCCCATCCATGACATTTTTGGTGACACCTTTCTTCTTTACCCGACTTTTTGCCTGTGTCCACTCATGTGTTGTTGTTTTCCACGTGTTGTGTGCAATTTCGCACATGCTGGTAAAGTCACCTGAGCCAGCAAGACAACTCTCCGGTAATGCAATGTTAGTTTTTGTTTTCCCGCGATCTGTTTGAGTTGGACTCCAAGTGCAAAGAAACCAACACTGGGAACATGAGAAAGTGAAACTAGAAGCATAAAGCCACAATGTTGGCTTACCCAAAACACCAAAGGTTGCATCATTGTTTTCCTCACGGAGTCTGAACCAGTTTTTGGTCAAGAAGTCTTGCAACTTTTGGTGCAAAAGCTAAGTAGGTCCCACGGTGGGGCCGTGGATGACAGTCTGGAAGTCCTGAAGGACTGAAGAGTACAATTCCAAGAGACAAATTTGGGAATGTAACTCCCAGATTTGTTTGTAGAGCTGACAACCAGCTGGCAACCTTCTCAGCCGGTGGTTTTTCAGCGCGACCACTTCTCACGACGTTCCGACAATGATGTTGTGAGATTGCTGAAACACTTTGAAATGCGTGGCGGGCAAACAAAAAGCACAAGATTTTGAGGCTGGGCTAGATGACTTGCAGGGGTTAACGAGGGTGCTCACGTGTTAGGCCGAGGGTCTGGCTGGTGGATGATTGGTGTACATGGCCAGTCCAATGTATCACATGGAGGGGCACCACGGATTGGAATGGCATCTTCTCATGGTACCAACGATGCCAATGATGCGAATGAGGCAAGAAAAACTTCACCCATCCCCTCCTTGTCAAAGGATTTGTTTATGTGAGTACTTGAAACTGTTCTGGTCTAGTGGTGTTGCTCGGGCTACGGGGTTTCCTCAAGGCACCCCCGTGGCAAAAATGATAAATTATACCAGCATAGACCCAGATAGCTTGGCAGAATCCCACGACCTGTTGACATGCGACTGGCTGGAACAAGAATGTACGCAGCCTGCGCAGCCAGTCTCAAGGCTAGCCAGGCACTTTCTGAAAGTCCAAAGCTGCAACTCATTACACCCCATTACGAAAGACCATCTCGGAAGTGCGAGGCAATATCCGACAAAACGCCGCCTTTATCCAACATGGCTTTTCAAACACTACTACTATAGACTATACTGTGTGCGTGTCGAACTCAAACATGCCGCCGTGTGTCCCCACGCAGCCCACAAATTATCCAATAGAGCCATTATCGGTCAACATGTACTGTTGCAACTTCATGGTCCCAAAAATGAAACCCAGAATCTGGCAGGGCAGCAGCTTTCGGAGGAAGTCACGGGCCCACTTTGGTGGCCAAAAAATGGACCCAGTGTTGGGGCCAAAACATTGAGTGAATATTTCATGTTTGAGCGAGTGCTGGTATAGAACTTTTCTGCAAAAAAATGCACATCACTAGCGTTGCCCATTGCCTAACCTCTTCAAGGTATCTACCAAGTGTTCTGTCTCTATCTGAGGCACTTTCTGCCTCCTGGCACCTCCCCTCTGAAACCCCAGTGCTTCTGCTGGCTAGCCTTCTTGGGCCTTTCTGCTACAAGAGAAGATCTGATTGAAAGTGGCATGTCCAGCCAGCTGCATGCTACACTGGCTTCTCAGCCACCACAAACGCTGCATTGACAATCAATCGAAAAATCAATCCAGACATCATGCAAATACAATCTTTTTGGTTTTGTGTTCACAGAAAACATCATTCTATTTTTTGTCATGTTCACTCAAAGATTGAATTTTGCCAAACTATATCAAAACTTGTGGCCCAGAGCGGGGTGGCGAAAGCTAGGCAAAGAAACAACGCTGGGGCTCTTTGGCAGGAAAAGCCTGGCCGGGAATCGCAACATGCCATGGCCAAGGGAAAAGGAGAGTGCCAACAGCGCCCCCCC